CTAATATACTATCATGCACGATAAGCATGCAAACACATCGAAGAACATAAAAAAGGTGACGTTGGCTAGCTAGAAAGACTAAGGAAAACCAACATCACAGAATAATAGCCAGAGGTGTTAAAAAGGCTACCTAACATCCTAAACCCTAGCATAGCACACCATCTAACGATAAGTGTCCTAACCAACATTTAAGTGTTGAGTAAGTCTCTGGGTGTAGCATGACTTTGGTGAGGTCGTCACACCGGCCCCACCTAAAGGATCCAAAGGATCTAAAGGGTGTCACCCAAAAATGAATCTTAAAAGATTTGGCCTCACATATGCATAAGTTTAAAATGCGGTGTGACGTAGTAAGTAGAAAAATATATATTATTATTATTATTATTTTATTTTTAAAATATGGGTCAATAAATGTGGACCTGTAACATGCAAGGGTGACACAAGTTAGATCTCATATATCCTTAGCACAGTCATACTCGTGTCAATCTCGATGACTTAACTCACGTTGCTCCTCGGGATCAACTCGATGAGCAATACTCTTTAAGGCATCATTATTGAATCAAGAGTCATTATCCTAATGAGTCTGGCTCACTATCCATACCAGCATGCAAATGCAAATGCAGGTAGTCAATTCACACAAGTGGTGATAAAGAGTATGTCGTGACGGCATTGACACAAAAAGAGAAAGGTATGCCATGACGGCAAGGGCTCAAATAGGATGGGCATGTGATCCCAATGTCTTAAATGACAGTACGATGTATACATTTATAATCTTAATTTTTAGTTACTTATATTTCTTACTTTGCAATGACACAAAAAACTTTATTTTGAAGCAAATAAAAATGCAATTATTATATTTAAATATGGGATACTACACAAGTATACGTATCACTATAAAGTAATATAAGACTTTTTGATTAAGCACTGAATATCAAACTCACAGGGAGAAATTCAATCTATTAATAAGTCAGAAGAAATTAGATAACAAATTCTACTTCGCAAAATATTCTTACTTATAACTAAAGATGCTATAATAGGAATCAATTTTAGATTCTTTTCGGTAATTTTTTATAATTGAAAATAAAGTAAACAACTAACTAAATTTAACTAGATATTTGTAAGATGAAGGAAATATAAATAAAATATTTTTTTCCTTATCATGAATCAGTAACAAGTATAGGAATTCTATTGTGGAAGCATTCAAATTGTGTTGAGCCAAATAAGAGCAATAGTATTCTTTACCCTTACTAGAAATGCTTCAAAGAGCATTGGCTAATTTAAAATTTGAATAGTCTTGAAGATGGATTAGGTGGGGAAGATACTAGCTCTCACTTTAGAGTTCCCTCTTCTCCCTCCACCTGGGGGCTAACTTCTCACTTCAAAACCTAAAACTATAAATCAAATTGGGGGCTTTAGTCTGCCACTCTAAATTCCTCTAATTCTACACCCTTCAAAGTTTATTTTCCTATTTATTTGCACTCAACCATATGAATTACATTCTCATCCATAAAATCTCATGTGATTCTTAACATTAGGTAACTAAGACAATATCATCACGAATCTTACATGTTATCATAAGAAAATATTAACATTTTAATTGACCAAATCAAGAAGTAAATAAAGCACAAGATTTAAAATTATCACAACTTATTCCAACAATAAAGATTAATACTTCACACAACATCCATCAAACACATAATCACTTATCATTTTAAGAAAAAAGATAAAGAGAACCACTCAAAATTCATGGAGAAATCACAACAACACTTAAGTTTAAAAGTAGAAATCATGCAAATAAATAAGAAGTCTAAAATAAAACCAAATGTAGTCACAAAGATAAAAACTTATCTCAAATCCTCTCCACCAAACTCTTGATGTTCCTTTGAATCTCTTCTCTTCCTTTCTCTTACAATACTCTCTACTCACACACTACAACTCCTCTCTTCTTGTCTATAAAAAGTTATCCTAATTAATCTATGAGAAAGGCGTCGGTGGCTAGAGGTCGTAAGAGAGTGCTCATAAATCCAATCCAAGTCTTATTTTTATAAATTTCCAGAAGGTGCTTTGGTGTCTCTTCAAAATGTGTCGACATTTAATGAATCTTCCCATAGTTGCTTCGTTTCAAAACCCAATTGAATGTATTTTTGTGTCCATTAACCATATCCCACATTTTCACCGAGATTTGCTTCAAAAAACTCTTCAAAAATTCATCCAAATTCATTGAATCATCAAGTAACTAACTCTGGTGCTTAAGCACGAGGTATGTGGCGCTTAGGTACGACCTTCTCAGTTTTCCTGACGCTTAAGCGTCGTTGTTCTTTTGCACACATTCTTCATTTTTGCTTGAAATTTGATATTTTTTCTCTCATTTTACCAATTTTCATCCATTTGATTGTACCTAAAAGGAAAATGCACAAATATCTTTCATTAAATCGTAATATCCTAAAAAATAAGTATAAAAATGTGTACATAAATGCCTTATATTTTAGTTGTATCAGCATGTCATGGTGATTGTGGCCCGAAGAGGATGTGCATCTCAAAAAAATGACAATGGTCACGCAGGCAAGCACATACAAGGCATGATACAACATGTAAACAAACAAGCACACACATACATATGCAAAACATGCAATGGTGCAGGTGATGGGTCGACCGGGTTTAGGCATCTGGTTAAACCAAAGTTGTTGAGCTAACCGGGTCTAGATAGCCAATTGAAATACAAATGATGTTGTTGATCCGGGATGACCAATCAAGGCATAAGTGGTGCAGGTGCAAGTGCAATTGCGAGGTGAAAAATGCAAGTATGAGGTGCAAAGTGTAAATGCAAGGTGCAAGATGCAAAATGTAAGGAGCAAGATGCAAAATACAAAATGAAAAGTGCAAAGTGCAAATGCAATGTGCAATATGCAAAATGCAATGTGCAAAGTGCTAAGTGAAAATGCAACATGCAAGACATGTGCATGAAATAGAGAGCCACGCCCGTACTAACGACCTAGCCCGGGAAACTTAAGTTTGGTACATAAGTACAACGATCGCCGCCTTTGCTTTTGTGAGGCGAGTGGAGAATTTCTCCTCAGATTTCCAAAAGGGGGGAGAAATTTCCACATCGTTATGAAATGGGTTAGCTACAATTTTTTTCTCATTTTTACGATGCCTCAAAGCTTTGTAAGGTGAGCTAGAGACATGCTTTTTCTCATTTTGCAAAGACCAACTTCTTAATCTTTCCAAGGAAGATTGAGGCATCCAAAGCAAAGGGGAGCAAAGGGGCTCCAACCCATTGGATCTTTGTGTTATGGCTCACAACAAAGAGGCATTCGCTCGGCTTTCGTAAGGGAGTTAGCCACGCATGTAAAACCCTACCCTAAAGGCTAGCTTTAGGTCAATAAATGATCCATCACAAAAGAGTGCAACAACGCTGGCACAAACTGGTGCACGCACCCTGTGTGGGCAATCAAACCCACACACCTACCATAACTAAACCCTAAGGCTAGCTAAGAAATAAAAGATGAAGGGTTAAAGGAGGTTATACTGTCGTTTAGTTTACTTGAGACTTGATGGAATCTAAAGAAAGCTTTTCCCATAAGGTAGAAGACGTATGCACCTCCTTGGATAGTGGTACCCTCACTGTCTATCGATGATGAAGTGCTCTAATGAAGTATCCAACCACAAAAAATGTGAGACGATGAAGTGGCAGAGCTAGTACGTCGGTAGCACACAACTAGAATGGAAAAAAGGGCAAGGAGAACTGTACAAAATCTGGGGCTGCGTATGGCAGCGTGGGTGGTTTGTCATAAACTCAACACTGAAAAGGAGGTAAGTCGGTCAGATGTCACTGGTGAGGGGGAGAGGCTGGAAAGTGGTCTGCTAAGAGAGAGAAAAGCAAAAGAAAAGGGTTGCGGCTGGCTGTTTGGAAAGAGGCTTGGCATCGAGGATCACCTTTAGGAGGTTGGAAACTCCAGCGACCGAAAAACATGCCGGTGAAGCAAAACTTGGCGTGCTTGGCGTGCGACTGGTCGACAAAAGAAGAAAAATTAGGAGGAGCAGGCGTTGGTGACCAAAACCATAATTATGCAATTATTGAAGTTCTGAATGATAACCAAAACTTGACCAAATTTATATTCAGCGGTTAGTGTTCAAAATAAATATATGATGAAATTGATTAATAGCTTACACATTAGGGACACTACACAAGTATACATATCATTTCAAGTAATATAGAGTTTTCTTTAAAAACCTCAGTATCAAAACCTCAATATCGAACCCATGGGGAATAAGTTAATTTATATTTCAACTTAAAAATATTTCTACATAAACTGTAAACAAAATTTGTAGGAGAATTAAATCAAAATATTTGTAAATGGATATAAACTAAAGTTTGCTACCTGTAAATTAAAGCTAAAAGTACTTGTAAAATTTTTCAACTATAGACATGTAAGAAGTCTTCCCCCTTACAAAGAGTTTGTAATCAGTGTAGGAATTAAATGCATGAAGATGAAAAATGGGGTTTTCTGACAAATAGAAGCATGTGTATTCCTTACCCTCTCTCGAGTACATAAAGAACATTGACTAATGTAAAGTTGAGTTCCTGATTGTATGGTTGTGTTGAGCAGATTCTAGCCTCTCACTTTTAGATTACCCATTGTGTCCTCTCTATAGGACCAACCAGTGACTCAAGTTCTAAACTAAGACCACATTGATAAAGGTTCTAGCCTGTCATTCTAGAATCATCAATTAAATGCCCATCAAAACTTATCTTCATATTTATTTGCACTACCCTAAGGTTCAGTACGGTACTCACTAGTTGGTGCATTCATAGCCCTCCCGGATCATTATATTTCACAATAGATTTTAACATCACAAATGACCAATTTGCAAAATAAATGAAGAACCGGTGAAAATACCATCACAAATTTTTTGAATAAAAGAAATATTCAAAATATTCTAACCTCATACATGATTACTTTCTATTAAAAGAAAAAAAACTACTCATAATTCATGGGGATGACAAAACAAAACATTATATATATTAGAAGCTAGGTTTACAAAATAAAAGTATAAGTACTTATCTCAAACACTTTCCCAAGCAATTCTCTGAAGTTTTCTGACTGAACTTGATTTCACAAGACTCACACAAGACTCAACAAACACTCACAATCACCACACTCTCACTATGGTGGCGACCCACTCCAATGTTGGTCTGAACTACCCAAAAATGATTTTTCTCTCCTTCTCCTCTCCTCTTGGATGTGTGGAAATGCTTACTATATAGAAAGCTCTGAAAATGACCAAGGGTCATTTCAAGCACCTTTTCAAAATTTGTCTAAATTTAATGAATATAAGCATAACCGTTTCTAGCGCCTAGGTACCAGGTTTTTGGTTCTTTGGCTTCATTTGACCCATTTTTGCTTCTTTTGCTCTTAAACTTCATTTCTTGCACCTGAAATTAAAACAACAAAAAATAACTTTCATTAAAATGCAATATGCTTAAAAATGAGCATGAAATACACATAAAAATAGAAAATTTTAAGGCGTGTTAATTCCCCCAAACTTAAACGTTAATTATCCTCATGTAACCCTTGTACTATGTAAACCAAATATAATAACTTATGATAGTCTCACTTTAAGAATCTTATAGCTTTGTCCCATAAATCTGATAGTGAAACTTTTAGAAAAATCTTCAATAATTCAAGTGAAAACTAAAATGTAAGGATATTTAGTAATCAAGTTAGGATTTCTAGTTTTCTATTCATTTCAAAAATAACTGTAATTTGTCACATTAAGGAATCATAGAAGAATTAAAAGAAAAGAGTTATATGAGAACTCAACCAGTAAAGAGACTAATACTTTTTAAAATTCAGAATAAACTCAGAAGTGTAAATAAGTTTTTTCTTTTAAGATAATTCAAGTGAAGCCAGCTTTTAATTAGGCATATACTCAAGCTTCTTCCCACATAATTTTTTTTTTGCTCTCTTTTTTTTCTTTTAATTTTTCTTTTCTTTTTATTTCACAATCATTTTCAATCCTCACTTTTTTTTTATGTGAGTATTACTATATCTCGACAACCTTTAATGATTTTGAGCTTCATTATCCTTTTTCTAAAGTTAAAAAACTTCTCACATTTCTTTACTTGTAATGTGTATTAGTACAGTAATGAATTTTTATAGTCTAATTCTTTTTAAAGTAAAGATTTAAAATATTTAGTGTTTCAAAAATATAATTTTTCTACTCTAAATAGTAAAAGTATATTCTTATACTTTTATACTAAATATCTTACCTTTAGAATTACCCTTTATTACAAAAAACTTTTACTTAAGTTTACTATAACAATTATAAAATCAAAATTATAATTATCAAAAGTTAACACCACATATCATAGGTTATGTTAAAATAATTTTAAAAATATATAGTTTACTAAGGCCAAATAAAATTTAGTTTTCAAAAGTTTTTTTCCCTCCCCCAAAATTGAATTTTTAAATAGTTTACAACATCAAAATATATAACAAGTGTTAAGAGAGGAAATTTTAACAAAATTAGTTATAACAATGTATGAAAAATATAAGCAGTACTGGTGTGAGCAGTAAAAACAAGTGCTGAGGAGTAGTACATCTAAAATCAACATGTATAACATATAAATTGTAAAATAAAAGACTACTCTAACACACAGACAATATAAACTAAACTAAAGCAAGGGTAAAAAATAAAAATAAGAAATACAATACATGTGTTCAACATACATTAAAGAGTACTAAAACAAAACAAATATACATGAAGAAGCTACAACAGAAAAATAATTAAGACTAGCTAATCATCCTCCTCCTCATCATCATCATCATCTACATCTTCATCCATCATCTGTCTACGCTTAAAAAGAGGGTATTGAGGATAACTAGGAAAATCAACTCTATGTTCAACACACAGATAACTCACTAAGGAAGTGTTGAGGCTGGCTTCATAATCACTCTTCCTTCTCATACATTATTCTAGGTGGTACCTGATACACCTAAAATATATAGTATTTTTATACACATTTTTATACCTATTTTTGAGATATTGTGCTTTAATGAAAGATATTTTTGTGTTTTTCTTGTTGGTACAATCAAATGGATGGAAAATGCTAAAAAGAATGAAAAAGGTTCAAATTTGGAGAAAAAATGAAGAAATGTGCAAAATGAACTGGGGCGCCTAAGCGCTAAGATCCTCACCTAAGCACTAGAGCCTCTATGCTTAAGCACCAGGTACCCCATGCTTAAGCGCCAAAGTTAGTTATTTGAAGAAATATTAATTGGAGCAAAATTTTGAAGAGGTGTTTGAAGCAACCCTTGATAAAAACGTGTGAAAAAACTCATGGACACGAAAATTCATTCAATTAGCTTATGAGGAGACAACTTCCAGAAGATTCATTAAATGAAGAAACCTTTGAAGAGACACGAAGGCGCCCCTTGGATTTTTATAAGAAAAGACTTAGATTATCCAAGATAAGAAGCCAACAACCACCCACCAAAAGTTCACATTACCACCGCCATCGCCGGTCACCTTTATTTTATTTTATTTTGAGTATTAGTTTGTATTGTGAGTGAAATAAGAGAATTCAAAGAAACTTCAAGCATTTGGTGGAGATATTTTGAGATAAGTGTTTGTTTTTGTGACTACATTTTGTTTTTAATTTAGATTTCTTGTTTGTGTGCATGATTTCTACTTTTAAACTCTTGTGTGGTTGAATTTTCTCCATGAATTCTTAGTAGTTTTCTTTATATTTTTCCTTAAAATGATAAGTGGTTATATATTTAAAGGAAGTTGTGTGAAGTATTAGACTTCAATGTTGGAAACTTCAATGTTGGAAGAAAGAAGAAATTGTGATGATTCAAGATCTTGTACTTCATTTACTTCTTGATTTGGTCAATTAAGATTTTAATACCTGTTGTGAGAACATGTAAGATCCGAGATAGTTTTGTCTCAATCAATAAATTAAGAATCACATTTGATTTCATGAAAGAGAATGTAGTTCATGGGGTTGAGTGCAAATAAATAGAGAAATATATTTTAAAGGGTGTAGAATTAGAGGACTTTAAAGTAACAGGCTAAAGCCCCCAATTTGATTTATAATTTTAGCTTTTGATACACGATGTTAGCTCCCAAATAGAGGGAGAAGAGGGAACTCTAGAGTGAGAGCTAGTATCATTCCAGCCTAGTCGGACTTCAAGGCTAATCAAACTATAGATTAACCAATGTTCTTTATTGTATCTCTAGTAAGGGTAAAGAATATTATTGCTCCTATTTGGTAAAACACATTTAGTATACTTCCACAACTAAATTTCTATATTTATCTGTCGGCCATTTTTTTCTTCTAAACATAAGATTTTAAAATTTAAATTTCATATAATATATATAATGTGATTTTAATTTTATGAAAATGTTATTCTTTATTTTGGAAAATAATGAGGTCATATAGATCTCATATATCTAATAGTTTAAATAGTTGAGCACTATACCACAAGTGATATATCATCCCAAAAAGATGAGTGTATCACTTATTGGTAGGTTTGACTATCTAAACTTTAAAGTTTATGACTCTACTTTGGTCTATAAATTTATAGCCAACAAATTCACCTTTCTAATACACAGATTAGATAGAGTTTAGATTAATATGAGTTCTTAATTCCCTATAGAGGCAAACCATTATAATTAATTACATCTTAGACAACCGAAGTCACCTAAGAAAACTCTCGATTAAGATCAGGGTTTCGTCTTCAAGAATTCAACGTTTAAGTTTCCACGATTGTTTATAGGAAAAGTCAAGTTGGATAGGTTCAAATAGAAACAGTTATTTCTAGAATCCAAAAGAGCGAAGAGTAGGAGATGTCAAAGATACCAAATAAGATTAAGTGACATCTCAAACTAAACTATGGTTTGGTTTTACATCTATGAAAGGAAAATTATGTGATATTTCAGTCCTGCAAGTTATTTAAATATTTGGAGCTTATATCTACATTTCATATGTAAATGACCCGAGGAAATAAGAGGTTTTTTGTCATACCAGACGATGACCTTGGAATCCTAAAAAGTTTATGACTTATATTGTACGATATAAAATCATAGAAAGTCCTAAACTATAGTGTGAGGATTTACGTCGTACTAGAAGAACGACCTCGAAGTCATATAGGTATGTTATTTTAGTCTACGGAAGTTCAGCTGAAACTCCTCTCTCCACCTTTTGTTTTAATCCCGACCACTGTCCGAAGATGAATCGTCAATTGACTACGTCGTTATCTCGTTAAGTGAAAAGAGTAAAGAAAAAAAAACCATGCCTCGTGCGGCCTATCCTAGGGTATTGTATAAACATGACAACAAGGTAGTAACTAAAAGCATGGGTACAGACAAATGTATATAGTATAGTAAAGAAATAAGAAGAAGCTATGTAACAAAGTACGGTAAAAAATGCAAAGAACATATAGAAAGGTATAGTACAATACCAAAAGAAAAGAAATGTACAGTAAAGAAAGAACTATGTAGTAGGAAAAGTAAAGAAACTTAAAACAACTAAAAGTGTACCTGATTAATTTTGCTGATGCTACAAAACAAATTACAATTGCATAACATAAATGGATTAGATAAACATTTGCAGATTATAAAAGAAAGGTTAAATGATAAGCATATGAAAATTTAAGGTGGGATATATGATTTTAATTTGTGGTTAGGCTCAGATTAGACTTCTTTTTTATTTTCTCGATCTTCAGGCCACTGATATATCGAAGTCAACTTATCAGTATCAATTAGAAGTCACCAATGAATCACCCCTATAGTCAGGCAACCCTACACCCTATCATTTAATGGATTGGTGAATCCAAATAGTATGTGAATTTATCTTGCTAAAGGTATAATGTACCCATGTGAGATAGTATCTGAACTTATCAGTGTGCGGTGCACCTATATGTGATGTTAAAATAAGTGATGTGTAGGATCTAAACTTATCGATCAACAGTGTACAATGTGTCGAGTAGTATTTAAACTAATCAATTAAAGGTGTGTAGTATATCTATGTGTGGTGTATGAGATGCATTATTTGATACGTGGGGTTTTTTGAATTTATCAATCTAGAATGTGATGCATCTATGTGAGGTGTATGAAGTGTAATATGTGATATGTGGAGTGTATATGTAAGTGATATCAAATGTATATATGTATTAGTTAATGTGTAGTGTCTATGGTGTAGTGTCGTATCTGCTATTTTTTTTTAGTAAGTGTGGTATCTGTGTAAGATCTGTAGTATCTATTCTTTCCACAAGTGTAGTATCTGTGTAAGATCTGTAGTATTTGTTCTTTTATAACTACCAGTTCTCAAACTTTTCAAGGAAAGGTTAGGGCTGCCGATAACTTAAGGAAGTGAAAGGGCATCTTATCAATTGAATATTGATTTTATATTTTCAGCTATAAGAAAAGCTGATTAGTGGTTCTTTGCTCCATTGCCTTTTTTAACCCCGCATCTCAAACTTATAAGCTACCTTGATGTTTCATATGCTTATCAAACCAATTTGCCTGTTTTATATTCAGTTTCAAATAATGCAACATATATTTGCCTAACAAAAGAAAACTTGTTGCTTAAGTAGTGTAAGGAAGTGGAATGAATTCCCTATATGTCTTAAATGAAACGTCACATACACTATTTAAATCATCTTATACGCATCATGTATATGTATGTCAAGTTTGAAGAGTGAACAACAATGCAACTTGTCTGTATCCCATGACCCAATAACAACCTTCATATACTAACTTTTGTTGTTCGAACTATAAAATAGCTTGCAGCATCATCGTGATTCCAAGGATTTAAGTCGCAAACAAGCATATATAAATGTTCTACGTGTGAATGTATAACCGATATGAAAGTAACATAATATACCGCAGTATAAACTATCTCGAAATTTAATATAGAGTCCAATCATTCATATATGTAACTTATCTATTATAATATGATTCACTAATTCCAACTTTTAAGCTTTCAATATATGTATAGATCTGTCACCCCTCTTTTTTAATATCAGGTAATAAGAATTAGATTATCAAACTATAAAGGTTCCCAGCCGCAGTTAGTACGCCACAACATTCCAAAATATAGCAAAGAAAATTTAGTTGCAGTTCTTTCTAAAATATCAACATGTAAAGTAAAAAAGAAAACCAAATACCATTATTACACATGCTCAAATCGTAAAATAAAGCTAGCTGCTCTTGATTAGAACTTCTTAGCAATTTATCGACTTAATATCATATGAGTCAAAATAGTTTAATCGAATAAAACAGTAAAGCTATCAATAAAGCAGGTCTTCAAGTTCATAATTATTGCTAAATTTTGTGCATTCTCAACAAATAAAAAAAATTATTTGATCATATAAAGTTGAACATATTTAAATTGTATCAATATTCATTTCAGCCTTCAAAATAAACTGTACTTTATTCTTCATGCATATCTTTCACGCTACTACAACTGAAACACTACAAGCATAAAACATTCTATGAGGTATGAATATAAGAGAATGATATCATTGCAAATGTATAAAGATTGCATGTTACACACCCTATCTTCTCAATTTTTAAAATAGCTAAGAACATACAATATCAACTAATGGGCACAAATTCAAGATTTATGAATTATAGATTTACGAAAATATCAATTCAATAAGTTGTTTATTTTTTAACATCAAATTTAATCACAGAATAATGAGATAATAAATGGTTGTACCTTTTATTTAGATTATAAACCAAGAAAAATAAGTTAAAAAAAAATCCAGCAGACAATCTCGAACAATGCTAAAAAAAAATCTCGAGGACCAACACCAATTTGCAGCAATATTCAAATGCTTTTCCTGATGTTAATGGCTCATTATTGTTGAAAACATAACGCTTCGAGACGAGATTTCTAAAGCCTAAACTGAATCCGAGATAATATAAAATTAATTTTGTTAAAGAAATATAAACAAATTTATGATCCTCTAAATAATATAGTTGCAATTTCACCATTGTGAATAATCCTTTCAGGCTTCAACAGTGAAGAGTAATTACACATTTAAACCAAAGAATTATACAATTTTAATGAAGCAGGAACAATCCTGAATATAAACAAACTTTCTAAATCCACTGATCAAAACAAGATACGAAATCTAAGTATAATTCAAACTGATTTAAGCAATGTCAAAGGAACCTAAATTTTATTTGCATATCTATTTCATTAAATCTTTTCATAACATAACCCAAAGCTGCTTCATATTCATGTCTTAATAGGATAGTATGAATATAAGAATTGAAGTTTAGGTGTTAGATATGTAAATACATAATAACTGAATGATATGTGTGCAAGTGCCTAATCCAATTAGATTAATCAAACTACACCAAATGAAAGAACTATTTCCATCTTGTACTTCACAAAACCGAGTATAAAGCATTCCAAATATTCCATGATAAAATACCGTGAATCTCATAAAAAAAATGCCTATGTAGCTAAAGAAAACAAATAGGGGCAGACCAACATATGATGTCACTCAAATTTTATGTACTCTACAAATTTAGCACTCAACTTTCTTATTTTCCATGTTTCTTTATAATCCTTTCATCCAGATGTTTCATCTAACCCTTAAATGGAATTCAAATTAAGGTGTTAGTTTAGTAAATAAAAACAATTGCATGCTATACATATGAATTTCTCACAACTAAAGAGGATTTTTTTTAAAAAAAACGCAGTTCACTTTTTTAGGTAATTAAGACCCAACAACATTTCCATAAATCATGAAATAGGTTTTGAAGCAAAGGTATTAACAGACACTTCTCCAGCAAGAACTCAAAGCAGTGACAAAACAAGGATTCCAAAATTCTCAAAATGAATTGCTCAAAGAAACATAAGAAAGAAATCCAGCTTGTGATAACCCAAATCCCAATTAATAGGAGTGATCAAACCGAAGTGTTCATCCCTCATAGATTAGAGATTCCTTCAATCAGCGAAACTTAAGCATCATAGCCATATAACGAAACAAATTCCAACAAATCCAGTTAAAGCACTCCATTAAGAAAGAAATACAAAGAGAGATGTCTAAGACAAACTCCATATCTCTCGGTTACATATTTCTGCACTCAGGCCTTGGAGACCCGAGACCAGAACACTGGAGGCAAATAGCCGCCGTATGGTCTCCCTCCCATATAGCAAGCTGCCGACTATGGAGATCTTCATCTTTCATAAATTTCTTCTTAGCATAGCAACTAATCTTTCTTTACCAATCATAAATTCATCTTTATTCTATTTACAGATAAAAGAAAGAGATAGTAACGGCTCAAAAACAAACCGATCCTATCCAATAAGCATCATATATCCATGGGTCTAGCTTTCTTGAAAATAAAATTGTGCTTAATATTCCAGAATCATTCATAACGTAAGCCAAAATAGGATATCAAATTCTCAGATGGATCAAAATAGATTTTATAAACTCATTTGATAATGATCATGAAAATCCCTTGAAAAGGCCAAAGAAGAAGAAGAGAAGAGCTTACTTCCAAAGAGCGTAGAAGAAACTTCAGAAATTTCAGAAGCAGAAATCCAAGCCAAGAAAGAAATCCTTACATCGTCTAAACAAAGATGCTAACCCCAAAATCCTCACGTTCAGGCACCAATATTCCTCCAAATGCTCCAAAAAAAAAAACGGAAACTACAATAACAAGTGAATCACCAGCGAACCGATGAATCAATCTCAACCTGAAAACCTCCCAATTTTCTTCTCAAAGGGGTATTTATAGGTGACGGGGAGGAATGATCTTACCGCAGGTGAGAATCAGGGCGGTGAGGAGAAACACCCATGAAGGGTAAGAAACCCATCAAGATTAAGAGAATGAAGGTTACTAGACTTTTTTGGGCAGGAAAATTCCTCCCATTGGTGCAAGAGGGCTTGGAAAGGAGGAAGGTGATCGGAAAACTAGCAGGAAGCTTCGAGAACGAGGCAATCGCCGAATGAGGGAGGTGAAGGTTCGGTTAAGGCATGAAGGAAGAAGGCTTGAGTGGGGAAAGGGAATAACGCGTGAATTTTTATCCTTTAATAAAAAAAGAATTTTTTTATTATTTTAAAATTAATATTCTACTAAAATTCATCAATTTATGCAAAATTTGACTGTATTCGAAACCCTATCAGTGTATATGTCTTTCACGACAAAAATTAATGTCTCGGATGCATTGGTGTAGTTCGTTTTGTCATCCAAGATATCCTAGAGAAGTTCATCGAATATAGTTCCAATTTAACTTTAGTTCGCGCATGTTGCGGTAAAAGAAGTTATTTTGGTCCAATTGGAGTCGTTTAATGAGTGAATTGATGATGGATCTTCGCTTAAACGACAACCATAGTCAAACATATCGCTCTCGGTAGAAAGTCAGACGTCAAATGCTGTGGGGTCCACCTATGTCTTTCAATTTCCTATAGAAGCTCAATTTGAGCTTCGATATGTCGACTTTTCAATCGACTCAATCGAATGTTGAAGATCTGAAACCGTCTATATGAAACTTCAAAGAGCAAAGAAACTGTTTGAATTTCAAAATATTAGAGGTCTCAGTCTAGTCCTCTAAGAGAGTCAAAATAGAAAAAATCCTAAGGCTAGATTCTAGAGTATTTTAGAGAAAGGAAAAGGAATACCTTAAAATTGAGGTCAACTTTATTACTGATTCATGATAAGGAAAAAGATATTTTATTTATTTTGCCTTCATCTTGTATTTTAATTAGGTTAATCAGTTGCTTACTTTCTTTTCAAATTAAACAAAAATTACAAAAAAAAATAGAACTTTCATTCCTAATTTTACATCTTAAGTTTGAGTAAGAATATAAATTGCTAAGTATTTGTCATCTACAAATATCCTTCTCGTGGGTTCAATATTCAGGACTTAATCAGAAAATTTTTATATTACTTGATAACGATATGTATACTTGCTTAGTATCCCTATTAAAATATTATAATTGCATTCTTATTTGCTTCGTAGTGAAAATTTTACCTAGCCTTTGCTTTGGATCAAGTTTTTGACAGTCGTTGCAAATTAAGAATATATATTAAGGAAATTAATCGCATAGATGTTTATGTTTATATCAAAACTTGTGATTGATGCCAAAGAATAGACAATATTTCTAGGAGGAATGAGATCTCCTGAGAAATGAGATGCCCCTCAACTATGTGTTGTATATTGAGATATTTAATGTTTGGGGATTAGATTTCATGGGACCATTTATACAATTTTTCAAAAATTTATATATATTATTAGCAGTAGATTATGTATTCAAATGGATATAAGCTATTGCTTTACCACGATGTGATGCTCAAAGTGCTACGTGTTGTAAAAAATTTCTTTCCAAACGATATTGGGAATGAGAGGCCCCTAATTACCGAAATAACTGCTACGATAGTGAAATAGCAGAAAACCTCCAAGTGCCGAGTAGCAATCAGATTTTTAACCTCCCCACCAGAACTCAAAAAGCTTAGCTCCACAATAAACTTCCTTGACAACATAAAATCATCGTATCTATCTTGTGTTTTACGATTCACAAACTTAATTTTGTCAAAAATTTATTTCCCCATTCCTCTCCTTGTTTTAGAAGCCATTTCAAAAATCTAGAAAATGTCTAAATAAATTGTAGTTCTAAAGGCTCATACAAGTGATTTCCAAGCAAATGAAGCTTCAACCATGAATTTATCACTATAAATTCCAAAATTTTTCAATTTTTGGTATCAAATCAATATGGAAGAAGCCCATGGTGAAAGAACAAAATTTCTATGCCAAAATGTAGATTTAACCTTGAGAAGATGAAATCAGATGCTTTTAGGCTCTAAAACTTGAAGAATCGTGAGCTATGGAGAGCCCTAGGAGTCACTTTTGCAAAATGGAGGATGAAGGTGAAAGTTTGAGCCAAGCTCCCTTTTATGATGTTTTTTTGGGTTTTGAGAAGTATGTTCAGACCGGTGATTATTGGTTATTATTGAGTCGCTGAGTTTTGTTGCAGGCTCCCTCCTAAATAGGTGGTCTACTGTCCTCTACATAGGGGTCTTTTATATGTACGATAAGTAACAAATAATAGCTTTGTATGTATAAATGTAATATATACAATAAAGCACAATAAAAGAGAAATCATAGTAAGAGATAAAAATGGTAGTATGTACCTACCGCCTCTAATGCCACTGTTAAAGAGTTAAAATTACAGGTAAAGCGTGCAAGTATTACAGAGAATTAAACAGACACAAAAGACATGGGCATATGTATATATAAAAATTCAAGTGACACATATATGAAAGATCAAAGTTGTGTATAAGAAATCAAGTTAGGAGTGGACTCAAAATCAGGATTGAAGCCCTGATAGTTCTTGAGGGGCTTACATATGTAACCATTAACATCATGTATATGAGACCCAACATAAGGTAAAAGACTACCGACAAGGCAATCAAGGTAGGGTAACCCTCAGCCCGATTTATGTGACTAACACATGAACTTGTCAGAAGTAACACCAAAACATTATTAATTTATTGCATAACTAAATAATTTAAGCTTTTCATTTAGCAGGCATGTCGACACTTAAAACTTGGGAGTTGTGAAGTTGTCGATTGTTAAAATGGATATCCCGACACCCGTTTTAATTTAAGTTAAGATATATATAATTTGGAAAAAGTAGAATTTTAAATTTTGAAAATACAAGACCAGACCAATCTCATATCCTCGGTAGTTTAAATAGACGAGTCAAATGTTGCAAGTAATGTATCCATCCCAAATGATAAACACACTACTTATTGGTAAGGCTCGATTAAATAAATTAAAGATTGTATGACATCTATTTAAGTCTCTGAAACCGTTTTTTATGTTGGCCGACAAATTCCCCTATTTAGTATGAAGAGTTAAATAAGGTTTATATTAAGCTGGGTTCGGAAAAACTTCCTATAAGGGAAAGTCCCCATAGTTAATTATATCTTAGATAACCGGAGTCACCTAAGAAAATTTTCGATAAAAATCAGGGGATATTGTCTTCAATAATTTCAAAGGGTAGGACTTTCAAAGAGATCAGACAAGGAAGTGTGAAAAAGGAATGACTCAAATTTAAAACATTTATTTTTGAATCCAAAAGAAGAGAAGCTAGGGGATGTCACAGATACTGAGGAGAACTTCAGCGACTTCCTAAATTATCCTATTGTTTGGCTTCAATTTAGAGGAGAAATATTTAAATGTTTCACCCTGTCAATTTTATTAATTAGGGCTTACATTTTTGTGAAAGTCTGGAAGATGTGAGGATTTAGGTCGTGATGAATGTCAACCTTATAATCCTAAAGTGAGTTAAGGCTTAAATTGTATAACAGGGTTATACAAAGACTTAAAGGAAAAGTGAGGATTTATGTCGCACTAGGCAGACAACCTCAAAATCCTATAACTTATTGTTTAATTTCTAAAGAGAGATATGTTGTTGTAGATCCTCTTGCTATTGAAGATGGTTGTGCTGCCCACGATGCTAGCTCCAGGCTTCTCGTCGTAGCAAATTTAAATTTTCTAATGTGTCAAGTCCTAATGTTAAATCAAATGTTCCCTAAGGTTATGGTTATTTAAATATTATGGGGGATGTTAAATTTATTAGAGCGACATCGGTTAGGATCATACGGTTCCCTCATTCTGGTACCACTATTTTCTTTTGGATTCACTTAGTCCAAATGAATTAAGTAAACTCATCTTAATGAGTTTCATACTTTCATTTAGACTATATGAAATCTCATTAGAAACTGTAGGTTGCCTCCTCCGAGGGATTCCCGATCATTCGATAGAAACTTTTTAATTTAGTTGTAATTTTTGTTTTGTTTTGTTTGTGATTAAATTTTGAGTTGTTTTATTTTTTTACTGTTGTGTCGGTAAATTTTATCTTGTTTTGATTTCTTAATTTTGTTTCAGTTTTAGTTTTGTGGCTATCCTAAAAGTTTTAGTTTTGACATGCAAGGTGACTTTATTGTTTAACATGCAAGTTCATGAGCAAAAAGCAAGAGGTAAAAGTAAATTGCAATGCAATAATATAAAAGCGTACTATCGGTTCTTCCCGTTCCTTCGTTTGAAAGATCAGTAGAAGGGAAAGAAGAGAGCACAAATTTAAGGCATCTCTACTAGATCCTATGTTTCATCCTGGTGTATTCAATTTATTTATTTGTAAAGATGATTCCATTAATCAAGTCATAATATGTCCAAGTGTCCTCTGAGATTCCCAAATGATTATGAAAAGGTCCTGAGTAATACCCTATACATTTCAAAGTCCCTTGAATCGTCTCGATTTCTTTTTGGTCTTATTATGTTTGCTATATAGTTTATCCAGTTCATACCTTCATGCTCAGTAAACTTTCATGTTTTGATTATCCTTTAAGTGGGGTAATTATCACTTTATGTTTCACTTACAAATTATGTGGGTAAAGGTCCTTAGGGGAAATTTGGCTTAATTAAGGAACTTAGCTGGTTTGATCTTTTAAAGATGGACTTGTAGTGTTTTAAAACGTTTTAAATTAATCATAGGTTACTTTTTAAACCTCATTAGACAACAAAATTTTGATTAAGCTGATTAAGCTTAGTTCACTACCAAGTCCCTTAAAACTTAATGGGTAGATTTGTGATTTTTGGAAAAAGTTTTAAATGTTTATATTCCTAATCCTTATCATGAATCATGAATCATTTTAAAACTATTAATTGGAGTTTCAAATCAGTGAGTTATGCCCTTCCAAAATGAAATCCCTCACCTTAATATCTTCTCACTTAATCATTTTTTCCAAATTACAAATTTATCTTTAATGAAACCTAAGTGAGATTGTTGCTACCATTTATCCCTTTCATATTTCAATCATCAATACATTTCAATTAAGACCATTTATTACCCATTTAGCGCTTTGGTTAAGCCTAAATATTAATTAAGGTTCAAATTCCAAAATTACAATTTTGCCCTTTAGGGCCTTAACACCTCATAATCCATTAAATCAAATTCAAATAACTTAAAAATTTATGTTACCT